TCAATTCAGAATAATTTTCCTGATGTTAAAATGTTAAATGTGAAATGAACAATACTACATTTCATTTTTCATAAATTCTTCTTGAAGTTGATTGTATTGTTGTGTCCCAGATGATTGATTACTAATTCATCATTTAAAGTCCAAAATCAAGGGATAAAGATGGTGAGGATGGATAAGAAAGTTTGACTGAATTTGAAATCAAATATTTTAAATAAAACAAGGAAAAAAACATGTCAAAGTGTAAAAGATTTTGTTATGAAATTTGCATTTGGATTCTTTTTTTGCTTTCATTCCGGTCTAGCACACTTGTTTATAATTAAGAAAATTTCCAAGATTCCAAATGATTAGGAATGTGAAAGTTATGACAGAGAAATTTAAGCATCTATAATGCTAAAGGAATACAAAAAATTTAATAATTTGATTTGCAAAATAAAAATAAAATACCACAAAAAAGAAATTAAAAAGTTAAAATGTCCTTCATTAAGTTATTAACACAGAAAAGGGCTAGTACTTAAAATTCATAATGAAATGAATCTTATTATTATTGCTTGTTCTGTTTTTCCAACAAATTTTAATTCTGATAATGAAAATATAAAAAGTTATTTTTTACAATTAGTCAAAGAAAACAAAGAACAGTTAGAAAATGAAAATGAATTTTGTAAAGAAAAGTTTATTTATGATTTCGAATTAATGAATGCAATTCATAAACTTGGTGAACCAAGAGAATGCAATAATTGTAAAACAAGAGCTTTCATCTCTTCCAAATAGAATTTAAGAATGGATACCTTATGAGCAATTTTATGATGTAGGAAAATTAACAGAAGGTGGATTCAGTTCTATTTATACTGCTATGTGGTGGACAAGAGGAAGAATTGATAATTATGGCGAGAATAAAAAATGAGTTTAATTATTTTGGAGTCAGACTGTAGTATTAAAATCATTTAAATGATTCAAATAATCCAGGAAAACCTTTCTTTGATGAGGTAATTGATCTTATTTAAAATAAACCAAATTAATGGATTTTATTTATATAAATAATTTCAGGCATTGGATTATTGTAAAATTAAATCAGTCTCAGCTGTTAATTGTCATGGTATAACCAAATTCCCAAAAAATGGAAATTATGCTATTTATGTGAAGAGGGAAATTTAAGAGATTACATATATCGGATTTTTATGAACCATTCATTCATTATATTTTATAGATCTAATTCATTGTGATTTATATAGCGGTAATATATTATTGCAAGGCATAGTGAAAGTTTTTTGTTACACGAAATGTTATAGAGAACCCATTGCTCCTGAATATAGTTGTTACCTCTCTAAATTGGAGATCAAGTTCAGATCTAATTCAAAATCCTACTTTTTATTGCCAGAATGTTTGCCGTGTATTGTAAAGTTATATTGCACAATATAAAAAATTAGTGTAACATTTCAAATTTCCACCAAAACAAAAAGAATCAAAATTTTTTTTTTTTTTTTTTAATTAATATATAGTCAATATTAATATGAGAGAAAAATGTTTTCTTAATGAAAATTAGAGTAAACAAACAAAAATATTTGGTTTAATTATACAATAAATATTTTCATTTGCTATTGTCCTTTAAATATTTATTATTATACTACTCTTGTGCGAAAACAGCAAAAATTTAAATTGCGACAACTGCCAATAAGAAAACTTCAAAATAAAGTTGCATATTAAAAAAAATTTTTTTTTTATTCAACAAAATGACAACTTGTTTTTCATCACTAGAAAATTTAAACTCATTATTTAACAACCTTATCAATTCCAGCAACAATGCTCTTCCGTTAAAATATATTAGTGAACTTGTAAATGATTTAACAAAGTTATTGAATGAGCCAGACTTTTATGATGTGGAAATTAGAATTGGAATAAATGAGAATGTTAAAATTTTTAAAGCTCATTCTAGCATTTTAAAAGCAAGGTCTTTGTATTTTAAAGCTGCTTTATCAAACAATTGGATAAAAAAATCTGATGATGATATTATCTTATTTGAAAAAGAAAACATTTCTCCACATGTATTTGAGGTTCTTTTAACGTAAGATTATTTTAAATTTATTAAATTAATTAATCAATTGAATGATTATAATAATAACTTTATTTTATTTTATAGTTATATTTACAATGGAATTCTTGATATAGATAACCTGGATGGAAATGAAATTTTTGAACTTCTTGAGGCTTGTGATGAATTAAACTTTGATGAATTAATTAATGACTTACAAAATTATTTGATTAATGAAAAAAAAAAATGGTTTCAACATAATTTAATTTATGTTCATAAAATTTCATCACATCATCAATCATTCAACTTGCTTCAAAATTATTGTAGTGAAATAATTAATAAAGATCCAAAATTATTTTTTAAGTCTGGGGACATTACAACAATTGAAAAATCCATGCTTATAACTATGTTAGAAAGAGATGACTTAGAATTAGATGAAATTGATATTTGGGATATTGTCATTCAATGGGGAAAAAATCAAAATAAAATTTTGGACAAAGAGATTTCAGAGTGGAAGGAAGAGGATTTCATTGTGTTAAAAGATAGGATAAAAGATATTATTCCTTTGATAAGATTCAATCAAATCTCTTCAAATGATTTTCCCAATAAAATTATACCATTTAAAAAAGTCTTTGATAAAAAAATATATGAGGAAATTTTTCTATACTATATTGATAAATGTAATCCAAAATTATTACTTCAAAAAGGCCCAAGATCAAAAACAAGAGCAGGAAAATTATTAAATTTACAAATGAAATCTTTAATTTCAAGTTGGATCAATTACAAAAATGATCTATATAATGAAAATGACGTACCTTATAAATTTGAACTAATTTTTCAGGGTACTCGAGATGGATTTTCTAGATCTGTATTTGAGGATAAATGTTATAATATTGAACGAACTGTGGTCATTATGAAAATTAAAGACATAGGAGAATTATTTGGTGGTTATAATCCAGTTGGGTGGAATAAAAAAGAAAAGTCTCTTGATGATAAGTATTGGATTAAAACAGATAAAAGTTTTATTTTCAAAATTAATGAAAATCAAATAAGTAATTCAATATTAGGTAGAGTTAGAATATCAAAATGTGCAATATTTCATCATGAACAAAAGATTAGTGTAATTCTAGATAATATAAAAATTCATGAAAATACTGTAAGTTTTCATGATTTATGTCTATACAATAGTATTGATAATGAACCTTATTGTTATTATTATCATTATGGTTTTGCAGATTTTTATGAAAATTTAAATTTTAGAAATAAAAACAGAAAAGTTCATTTGATAGAGGAATGTGAAGTTTATAGGATAGTATAAACATGTTAATTTATTATTTATGTATTTATTATTATTAAATTTATAGAATAAATCCATGTCTAATGTCATTTTAAAGTTTAGTTCTATGTCACTCCCTTAACAGAAAAAGCATCACATTTCATTTCTAATATCAGATAATTCGGACAGGCAAAACCTTTATCCATTTATCCAACCCACGAGTTTGTCGATCATAGTAATAGAGTGAATTATCCGGACAAAATCCCGGAGATCGATATCAGAGATATCCCATACACCCGAAAAGCGGAAGCTTTATCCATTGTTATTCCATGGATAAACAGAATTTACCTTTTGGAAAATGTTCGGATTAGGTGTCTAATATACTGATAATTTGAGTACATAGAACTATTACTATATATATATGTTTCTAATACAAATGTCAACTTGTTTTTCAATTCCAATAACAATGTCCTTCCATTAAAATACATAGTAAACTTGTAAATGATTTAACAAAGTTATTGAATGAATCAGAAACGGAAGGAAATTAGGGTTAGAGTATATGGTAGAATAGGCTGTAAAAGTTTTAACATTCTCGTTCAAAAGCAAGGTCTTCATATTTCAAAGCTGCTTTATCAAAAAATTGGATAGTATTATCTTATTGAAAAGGAAATATTTTCTAAATGTATTTGAGGTTCTTTTAACGTAAAATTACTTTGCAGAATATATTTACAATGAGATTGTTGATACAAAAGATAATCGGATTTTACTTCATTAAATTTTATTGTTATCCAATTGACTCGGATACTCACAAAATTTATTAGAGACAATGGCTTTTTGTGTAATAATTTTCTACTACAAAACTACAGATAGATGTAAGCATGGCTTTTTCTTGATGACATCTTATTCATTTTAAATATTGATCTAATAAGATTTGTCTTTCATTTAACATATATGTATATTCGAGTACAATGTTTTATTTACTTGATATAATATAGTGGGTGAATATATCCAGGATTATTACCAAATTTTATTGCTTTATTATTATCATTTCCTATAATTCATCAAACAAAACATATACAAAGTTTTTTTCAACCTTTAACGTATATTGCCTCAAACAGAAGCGACGTATTAAAAAGTAGAAACAGTAGTAATATGAGAATGAAATAGTAATAGTGTGTGATATTATGAATAAGTTTTAAATTTCATAAAATTTCGATTTTCCATAAAAAAATTTTATTTACTCTCAGTCAATCTTTCAAGAGCACCTTGCATACTTTTTGTATTTTTAAATTGAGTATTTCAATGTTTAGGAGTCAATTGTAAAGCTTTATTCGAATATTCAATATTGATAAAAAAATTAAATGGCCAAATTTATAAATGATTTCCTAATTTTGCGGAGGAGCATGCAATAATAAATAGCACACGCGAGTGACATTATTTAAACAACCATTATTGCATGTTACTGGTTTATTGTATGTCCGAGTATGAAACATTCCAAAATTTTCAGATGACATGCAAAAATGGAAATTTTAGCATATGATAAAACGGCATAGTGGGTTTGAATTTGATTGGTTAATCAACAAAAACTTTTTAAATTTTGCCAATTGCTGAATTGAGCGAATAAATACTGTCATTGTAATCGACAAATTTTTATATTTTTATATTTTTATATTTTTCTTTTTTTTTTTTTAAATGAAAATGTCAACAAACATTAATAATAATTTGATTCAACAAGAAAATGAAATCCTTGCTCTCGAAGTCAGTACAAATAAACAAGCAACAAGATTAACATTCAATAGCATTCTAACATTTATTTTAATTTGTTTAATTTCAATTTTTAAAAAATTAGGCAATATATCCACAAAATTTCATATATGAAAAAATTGATCCACACTATAAAGGATCGTTAACCATTCAAGTGTCAATGTCGGACGAAATCACTGTATATTTCATTAATAATAGTAATGATGATGATGATGACAGTAAAATTTTCAATAACAATGATAATAACACAGAAAATTATCATCCTCATCTTCTGAAAATCAAGCACTTGCCTCCTATAAAAATAACTTTTTTGATGACAGAAAATTATCCATTTGATGAAATATTAAAATTTAATCTCGAATGTTGTTGGTTGAAAAATGATTCAATAAAGCAATTGGAAAATCGACTAGAAAAAATTTGGCAAGAAGAAAAAAATGTGGTATGTGTTGATTGCTTCTAGTGACAATAATGGTGACGATAAGAATAATAGCACTATTTAAATATAAAGCTATTTTAAATAATTTACTTTATTGATTTATTGCTTTTGCTTTATTATTTATTTATCTATAAGGTTTTATTTCACTTTGCAGAATTTATTCAAAATAATACTTTAGATTTTCTGAATATATCATCACCATTGATTCTTTCTGATGGTTAGTTAAAAGCTATATAATATTGAAAAAAAGTATTTTTTGAAAAATTTAATTTAAACTTTTTTATACTAACACACATATATGTATTATATATTTCCAGAACACAATGATTTTACAACACTTAGATCAATTATAAATACATATAATCAACAAGCCTTATATCAAGATTTTTCAAATAATCATTTCAATTGTGCAATTTGTCTTGAAGAAAAACGTGGTGAACAATGTATTCAACTCAAATCTTGTCAACATGTGTTTTGTCAAAATTGTATTTGTAAATATTTTGAAATGTTGATCAGAGAAGGGTTCATCACACAAGTCAAGTGTCCTGAACCAGGTTGTCAATTAAAACATATATTAACAACAGAAGAAATTTCTGAGATAGTTGATAAAGAAACTTCTGATAGATATTCATATTTAGTAGAAAAGCAAAAACTTGAGACAGATCCATTGGTCACATATTGTCCTCGAAAATCATGTCAAGCTCCTGTTAGAAAGAACTCCGAATATGATAAATTATGTGTTTGTCCAAAATGTTCTTTTGCATTTTGTTGTTGGTGTGAAAAAACTTGGTAAGTTTGTTTTTTTTTTATTTTCCTTCAAAAAAAATTTTTAATTAATTACTATTACTATTTTTGCTGATAATCAATCAATATAAATTTTTATTTTAAAAAAGGCATGGTTCAAGTGCACCATGCAATATGTCTAATATTAATAAAATAGTAAGTGATTATATGGAAGCAGAAGGGGAATTGAAATATACTTTGGAATTACGTTATGGAAAGAAGAATCTAGAGAAACTGGTCAGGGATGCTAAAATGGAGTTGGAAGTATCAAAATGGGTTAGCATAAATGCACAAAATTGTCCAAGTTGTAAAGCCGCAATTGAAAAATCAATGGGTTGTAATCATATGATTTGTTCACGTTGTTGTGCACATTTTTGTTATTTATGTGGAAATGCTCTAAACCCTGGTGAACCTTATAAACATTTTAATGACCCGAAATCACCTTGTAATCAAAAGTTGTTTCATATAAATGAACAAAATAATATATAGAACAGTTTGATTATAATCAACATCATCTGGTTTTTACATTTTGTTTGGCACAAGAAAATTCATTTATTTATTTATTAGAACTCTTTACCTGTATATTTATTTAAACACATATTTAATTAATATAATAAAGATTTATAATTTCCAAGAACACAATTTTCAAAAGCGAACTTAACCATGCAAGTTGAATTGAGTACATTAAAGCTTTTCTATGTTGTATAATGTTTTTTTATTAATTCACCAATACAAATAATAATAATGATGATGAAATTATTTTTATCGTTGACCAACACAAAAAGAAAAAAAAAATCAAGTGAAGTTTTGGAGCACCTAATGATAAATAATAAATATTCATAATATTTTTTTATTTTGCCAAGATAATGAAAATTTGAATGTGGAAATAACAGTATTATTTTCCTTTCCAATTCTATAGTGCTAGTAGTAATCTTTTTAACGTTTAAGTTTTCATTTATTTTCTTTAATTGTGAAATAATAATAATATTTTTTTAACGATAACGACGCAATGATAATGTATTGCGACGTAACCAACTTGAGTGACGGCCACCACCAATTGTCTTATTAAATCTATGACCTTTACCAATTCCACGATTCTTCTTACCAATACTAGTAAGACCTCTGGATTCACGATGCTTATGTTTAGCAGTCACAATCCAATTGATTCTTGGGTCACGACGAATCACTTTATGATTGGGATCGACGAGAATTACTTCATAGTATTTGTAAGTTGAATCCTTAAAGTAATTAATTAATTAATTAATCGATCAACTAATTAATTTCAATAATATTATTATTATTATTTAATGGCTTGTGAACATTTTCTTTTTCATACCTGATTAACCCAATAAGAATTTAAAACACGCAAATTACTACATCTACGACCAACACGTTCTTCGGCAGTTGCTTTGAGAGAACGTTGATACTTGAGTTGATTTATACCTTGATTTACCGGTTTACCAAATGTAGCACCCTTTGGTACAGGTCTTTTACGACCACCACGTCTAACACGAATGCGATAAATAACATATCCTTGCTTTGCCTTTTAAATACAAAAAGAATATATATTATATTAGCTTATATGTAAAATGTGAATATGCAATATATATATATATATAAGCGTGTGTACCTTATAACCTAATCTACGAGCTTTATCAGGTCTAGACGGACGAGAAGCTCGGTGTACAACATTTAATTGTCTAATTAAATGTATTAAAATTTGTTTTTTTTTTTTTTTTTATTTCAAAAAAAAAAGTTTTTTTTTTGTAGAAACATACCAAAAAATTGCGGGATAATTTAATTAATATATATATATTAATAAAATCAATCATTGGCAAATGAAATATTTATGTTCCAATCCCGCGCATATATATTTTCTTTTTATTAGAAAAATATATTTCTTTGGAACATAAAGCTTTTATTTCATGCCTAAAAATTGTGTAAGCTAGCTAGCTACCTGTATTCCCAACATCTTACACGTAGTAAGAAGCGAAGAACATCAGACTGTTTCTTTTTATAAAGTTCTTCAAGATACTTGTACGCTTTATTTATATATATATATATAAAATTAAAATTAATCACTAAATAACATTAAAAAAATTATTTTTGATAATTTTTAAAAAATGATGATACATACCACCCATTGTTAATATATTTATAAGAAAATATATTTTTTTTGTAAAAAAAAAAAAAGATGAATTTTTTTTTTGATTTAAAAGAAGTTACACGATACATTCGTGTTACAAAACGGTGTCATGCATGATTACTCGAATTCTATTATTAAAATAATCCATGGCTATTTCAAAAATGGAATTACTTTTTCTCTTTAAAGCTGAGAATATCGCTTTGAAGACTTGAGAAGATGCGAAATACTCCAAGCTTTCATATAGTATTTATTCATTGAGAAAAACAGTTTAATAAACGCTTTAATACTAGTTATGTCAATAATCGATAATTTCTTTAGGGACTTGACGGATTATTTAAATATTCAGAGGACATCACGTTATGTTTCTATAAAATCAGAAGTTTGACTTTTACAAGTATCTCGGTTTAATATTAATATTAACAGATAAATAAAATGTCCGCTAAACCGAGCGAGATTCACTGTCTAGAACAATCTACGAATGGAATATGAAAATCGATTGACAACGCTGATGTGATTCGTTTTGCTCTCTTGCTGCTTGCACATGAGGATCACACTATTGGGGAAACTTTGATGTGGTTTTGCTAACTTTTAGTGTCATTGACCATGAGAGAGATAGATTGTCCAAAACCTGTTATTTAGAGCACCAATTCTCTGTTAAATTTTAAATGCTCTACCAAAGTCTGTATCTAAGGCACCGAACGAACCACCTAATTTTTATATTGAACTAAAAATGGTCTCGAAGTCAAAAAAAATTATTTACTCAGTGCAACAATCGCATTTGTCTTTTCCATCTACAAATTGTAAAATGGTTCCACGCTTCACTTTTTGTTTTTTTTTTTTTTTTTTTGAACACATTACGCCAACGATGTATTACGAACTTTGACTTTAGTCATTGACGTAACTAAGGTATTGACTAAAGGTAGTTTCTCACCAGCCTTGACGTAAGTAAAGCCACTTGACATAATTAAAAACACTTGACGTAATTAAAAATGCTTGATACAAGTAAAAACACTTGATACAGCAGCAATAATGATAATGATAAAATAGGATTATTCCATCATTGTATGTATATTTGCAATAATGCAAGAAGAATAATTATCATGGAAAGTTATAATTTGAATTAGAAATTAAACCACTTGTTTTTTATCTGTATATTTTCTTTCAAAATAAAATACCTCTTCTTTCTTAGAAATTAAAACTATTCTTTTATTATTACATTCATATAATCAAATTGTCTTTACATACATATAAGTTGCGTTAAATAGAATTTTTGACTTTTGAAGTTAACAGTAATACGCAATAATATTAATAATGCGCTTCAGCTGTCTTTAGTATCTGCGTTTGAAACAACGTAGTTGATCGATACTAGTACCTTTACATAACACATCAGACAGGATTTGGTACATATTTTTGTAAGTTTTAAATCGTCAAAGAATGCCGAAATACTTTTATTAATAAATCGATTAATAGAGTTTGGTGATGAAGTTGTTCTTTAAGTCATGTAATTTTCGCTTTTCGATTTACATCCTTATCAATTAATCCTGTCAGAGAAAAGCTTAAAGGCAATCAAATAAACTATTAAAAATGTTACACATCATTCAATTCTCCGCAAAGAAAACAAGTTTTTAAACAAAAACGTAACAACGAGTTTCGTGTGTTACCATTACAAAAACATATGGCTCAATCACATACATATATATTCGTTCGGAACATCAAAACTAGCATTGTATGCAAAGAATTTCAGCATCCTATCATGTATTCATGACCAATGATGCAATCTTTAATAAAATAGACTATTTCATGCCAGATGGTGCATTGATCAAGTAATCTAATAAATTACAACAAAAACATATAAATAGACCCGCTACCCACCCCACTCGTGGACCAAAAAAAAACGGTGCATTGATTCTGTTTTTTACATTACATTCGAATTCGGGAGTAGAGGCATGTAGTGCCAAAACGGTGTTCTATGTATGATTTGACTTTACACGTTACATTCAAATACAAGGTATCCATCTATTATATTCGTTCGGAGTATCAACATTAGACTGTCATATTATTATTATATCAAGATTGTTATTTTATTCGTTGCGTTGAGAAAAACATTTGTTTGTTTGTTTGTTCACATACAAAGGAAAATAGATTACGAATTAATAAATTTAATAAAAGATCCTTTGCAAAGAAGAGCCCTCATGTGAATCAAAAGTTTTTTACGAATTTAGATTGTTAGAAAAATCAACCAACCCTTTTTTTTTTTCTTAATTAAAAAAAAAAGATCTTTTTGTCCTGATCTTTTTTCCTCATGTTTATTTATTTATCCCAGGTTAAAGGTCAATTGGATCTATTGGATTTTTTTTCAAGTATATCGCTATAGAAGAATAAGCTTCATGCAAACATCAAAAGTTATTTACAAAAAAAAAATCAACTAAGCTTTTTTTTCTTAATTAAAAAAAATCCTTTGCAAAGATTAATTTATTAGCAATTAAAAATAAATTTTTTCTTATCCAGATCATTCAAATAAATTTGTTTGTTTGTCGATCGATCATTGAATAGATAAATTTTTCGGTTGCCAAATAGATATCAATGGGAATTCGTATTAGTATGATGTGGCAATATAAAAATAATATTGACCATTTAAAATCAATTTGCAAATCATTTCAAGTCCGTAACGAAAAAAGTTTAATTTTGATCTCATATATAACTACGCTGAATTTACGGTTTCAAGTCTTCTTTACAACAAAGTATTTCAAATTTGGTAAAAGTTACACGAAATATAAAAATTTACAACATTTAGAAAGTAACACGGCAAAACCTTCCTTTCTTCTACGTATGTTAAGTAAATAACTGTTGTTCTCAATAAAAAAAACTCTACTCTATTCATTAAAACACCAAGTCAAATTTTATATTTAAATTTTTTATATAATGTCATATGCTAAACTATTATCATCGTTATCATCAAAAAGAAAGAAATTTGTACTTAAAATTTATGTTGAAATGTTTAATAATGCAACCACTAATTCTGATGAAGAAAGTAGAAAAGATTATTTTTTTTCATTGGTCAAAAAAAACAAGGAGCTTTCTGAAAATGAAAATGAATTTTGTGAGGAAAAGTTTATTTATGATTTTGAATTAAATAATGCAACATATAAAGAAGGCAAACCAAAAGAATGTAACAAGTGTAAATTGACAAGATACTCTGATAGATTCTGTGAAGGTTGCATTAGATTACAATTACAGAGCACCACTTTGACATCTGGAAATAATATAATTGATGATTTTATTCAACAATGTCAAATGAAATCATCTCTGCCAGACTATATTTTAGAATGGATACCTTTTGA